GGCCGAGCAGAGCTGGACGCAGGGCGCCACTCTGGCAGGGTCGGGCCTCCTCTCCTGTCCTCCTCGTCCTGTGCTGCTCCGCAACGCTGGCCGTCGCTGCGGACGTGTGCGGTAGTGCACTACACAGTGCAAGGCTCGTCGGCGGTCTGCGGCTGAGTCGGCTCCGGGGGTGTGTACGCCAGGCGTGGGCGTCGTAGGCCGAGGGCGGATGCGTTGCGTTATCCGGTGTGTGTGTTCCGTCCCCCTTTTCCTTTCTCTCCCATTTCCCCCCTCCTGTGCCCCCCCGTTTCTGCACGAGCTGGCGGCCAGAGTTTCGGCCGCGTTCGCAGGACACCCCTGCCACGTTGCGTGTGCGGATGCTGCGCGAGTTGCCCGACTCTGAGGCAAGTGCAGCTTCGTGTTGTTCCTGCCGCGTGGTCGAGTTCGTCCGGGATGTGCGATCGGGATATCCCTCGTGAGGTTGAGCGGATTCCTCTTTCTTGATCCTTGCCTTGTCCCCGTGGAAAAATCCGCATCGCCATCATTTTCACCATCACTATCCTTCTCCTCCTTCTCATCCTCCTCCTCCTCGTCCTCCTGCTCGCCCTTCTCCTGTTCATCATCATGTGTATGCGCTTGCCTTCCAGCTCCGCCATCCAGGCCTTGCCGGGAATATGTGCGCTAACATGGGCGCACTGCCGGCACCATGCGAGGCCATGCGTGGCACTGGTGTGGTGTGGTGGATGTATGTGCCGAGCGCATACAGTCAGGAACTTTGGCCTAGCGTGTCGTTCTCACAGCGCTGGCCCATCACCCCCCGGCGCGACACGCCATCCACGTCTCGGTCCCCCCTCGCCGACGCCCCGAGACGTTCGAAGCTTCCCGCACAGCGGAGCGCAGAGGCACGCCGCTCACGTCCCAGTCCTCAGGCGTCAGCGTCCCGAGTTCGTCGAAGCCTCGCGTCCCGCGGAGCCGAACGACACGCTATCTTTTTAAGTCGGGCGTGTCCCTCCACAGGAGGAACAATCGGGGGACGACTGTTGGATTATGTTTGAGCATGTGCGAGTATGTTTATGGTATGTTCTATTTGTCGCCCAAGAGCCCCTTTGCAGGAGGACAGGCCCGAGCTGACGCTATCTGCTTGCCAGGCGTAGCGTTTCGTCGGGGCCGCTGCCGCGACACGCTAAGCTTTATGCCGAGTGCACGTCGGCACGCGTGTGGGGGGGGAGGGGGGGAACCACGCGCAACCTCTACCAGTCTGGGCCTGCGGCGACAGGCTCCCGCTGATAGCTTCCCTGGGGGCCACTGATCACTTCCCTGGGGGCCCCGTGCGCGATTCACATCATCCACCTTTTGCTGCGCTGTACCGTTTTCGGGGGAGGCAAGATTGGGGGGAGAAGAGGAGGGGGAGGAGTTGCAGGAGGAGTTGCAAGAGGAGGAGGATGGGGGAGGAGGGGAGAGGAGGAGGGGAGAGGAGGGGAGAGGAGGAGGGGATTGGGGGGAGAGGAGGAGGGGAGAGGAGGATGGGGGAGGAGTTGCAGGAGGAGGTGAGGAGAGGGGGGCAGTGGGGGGAGGGGGAGAAGCCGCGGGACGGGTGGCAGGCGGGGAGGGTCCGTAATGAGGAGGAGGATGCAGAGTTGAAGGGCAAGGATGAGGATGAGGAGGGGAAAGAGGAGGAGGGGGAGGAGGAGAACTAGTGTAAACCCAAGATTCATCAACGATGCTGGGACAGATCCTGCCCACGAGGTCCCTCTTAACGGGTCCCTGCAAGGACTCGTCTCCACATGGAAGTGCCACGTTGGGAGACAACCGTTTGAAGGTCCTGAAGCGTGCAAAAGCACCATGCTCGGGTCTGAGTGTTTGTCTTGACGATCATGAATCGTGCCGCGACACCATTCCAGGGACTTCAACATCGCGAGTCATCGTAACTGTTGCGCCGGGGCAGTCTTGAATCGTTCCGAAACGGGCATCTATGTATTTTAGCCGTGGGAATCAATGAAGTTCCGGCGAAGTTGTAATTTGAGTGTGCGCGGCGCTGAAGCGAGAGCCACACTTCGAAAAGGAACCACCATCAACCCGTACCCCTCCCTGCATCTTTTAAAGATGAGCGTGCGCGGTGCCAAGGCAAGAGCAACATGTTGGAAACCACCCGCTCCAAATCCGTGAAACTTTTGTAAGCTTTGATGACGGATGTGCGCGGCGCGAAGGCGAGAGCCACATTTTGGAAGCGGCCGCCCTCCATCTGTGAAATTATGTGTTCGTTGTTGAAGTTTCAGGGTCAGAAGCGGTAGGTAAGGAAGTCTCAGCCGAAACACCCGGGCCGCCCTTTCGACCGGCCTCGGGGTGCGACAGGGAGGAGTTAGTTATAAGGAGAAGGAAGGAATGAAAGAGGAGGGAAATGGGGGAACAGGACGGGGAGGAGGAGAGGGAGGAGGGGTGGAAGAGGAAGCGAAGGAGGAGGATGATCAAGTAGAACAACGAGGAAGGGGATGGATGCAGGAGGAGGGAAGATTAGTTAAACGATGATCGGGCGTGAACCGAGGGGCTTGGGCGATGGATGACTGTGGATCGACGGCGGGGTGATAGGATGAACGCGATGTTTACGTAATCAGGAAAGTGGAAGTCCACCAGGATCAGCGAATGATTGACAGGAAGATGCCATCGGTGATGATGGTCATAGGGAGGAGGGGGGGCGTTGATGGTGGACACGAGTATGCGATTGAAGGTGGTGGGGGCAACCGCTGAGTTGCTGCTCATGAAAGCGAGGGTTTGATGCAAAGCGGTAGAGGGTCGATCTGAGTCCCGGGGCTGGTGGATGGACGACGGGATGGCTGACGTAGACCAAGCAGTGACGAAGCGTCCTGGTCCCTGGTCTGCTTATGGGCCCACCAACATGTTCTAAGAACCGCTTACGTGGTTTGTAAAGCATGTTCTTGTAAAATGCCTGGCTGAGGCAGTCTTGCTTTCAGACGTCTGCCATGCTTCAAGGCT